TTTACCTGAGTTTACCTCTCTGTTGACTACCCTCGACGGGAACAGGAAGCCGTCAGATTGTCAAAAATCCTCCCATTGTGCCTGAGGTTTTTCCCAACTGAATTTTCAATTGAAGTAATGTTTTGACATTTACGTCATCAGCGGGTAGGGGGTTCCATGGGTGAAAAGACTGTTCTCTGGCCTACATTGTGGCTTGTTGAGCTTGAAGCTCTTGCTCTTGGTGCTATATTCAACCTTTTAAAGAACTGGTCTGGATTAAGATCCTCCAGTTAAGGTTTGGATTAAGGTCTCGATGAGATCAGCCCTCTCCTGTCTGGTTAATAATAATAATAATAATAATAATAATAATAATAATAATAATAATAATAATAATAATAATAATAATAATAATAATAATTTCGTTCTTTTATCCACTCAAATTAATATTTGTTTTATTTGTACATTTTATTATCTATGAATACCCTGTTTACCCCTCTCTCTCTCTCTCTCTCTCTCTCTCTCTCTCTCTCTCTCTCTCTCTCTCTCTCTCTCTCTCTCTCTCTCTCTCTCTCTCTCTCTCTCTCTCTCTCTCTCTCTCTCTCTCTCTCTCTCTCTCTCTCTCTCTCTCTCTCTCTCTCTCTCTCTCTCTCTCTCTCTCTCTCTCTCTCTCTCTCTCTCTCTCTCTCTCTCTCTCTCTCTCTCAGGAAAATCACAATTAAAATAAAGTATTCCAAGAACCTGTGAGCGTCAGCGGTGAGTGAGAACTAACAGGACCTTGAGGTCTCCAAGAAACACCGGGACGCGAGCGCCCTTGGCGCCCAAAAACCCCGCCGACGACCTCCAGGATCTGGACCAAGAGACACGGAGGACCTTCATGGTCAACAGAGACCTCGGAGGAGACTTGCCAAGGTCGTGACGCGCTCCCCTGCTGGCTAGGTCATTACCCTAGATCCTCTTGCTTTTGTGCTTGCTATCCCTGTCCATGTGGATGTTCGGGCGTCTTACTCCTCCCTCCACCTATCCACCTCTCCACCGGATTTAGATATGGCGAGGGTCCTAAGCTGAGGAAAGCCTTACAGGCCTTAGCCATTCTTAACGAAGAATAAGGCTGTGTAAGATCTGAAGTTAGCAAGTTGTTGTTGTTGTTTTAGATTCAGCTACTCAGAACGAAGTGTCCATGTAGCACGGGCTATGGTGAGCCCGTAAACTTGGCAAGAAGGTGGCCAAGATATATATGATGCATCGCGTACAGGGTGAGGAGGAGGAGGCGTGATATTTAATAACTTTTACAAATGTCTTTAATTTAGTTTCAAGACATTTGTTAATAAGAAAATAATACTAGAAATTTGTTGCCAGCAAGTTGAATAACTGAATGTCTTTAATTCCCACGAGTAAAATACTCTTGTAAACTTGCAATTGCCTCGTAAAATAGTTTGTAAATGACATTTACAAACTATAGCATGCTAAATTTTAAAAGACCCTTTCAGACTTAAGTTGTAGGTTGTTTAGCTTATGCCTATATCCGGCCCAGCTTGACAGGTACGTCAAAGTCCGTCCGCTCGCCTGCCTTAAGACTTGACGATTGCAGCAAAGTCCGTCCTTCCACGTCTTAAAATTAAAATTAAAAAATTTAAAAATTCAAATTCAAATGATTATTCAGGTAAAGCATATACATACAAGGCGTGATACAAACAATGATGGCTTTATAGATAGAGCTAGTACATACAATGCCTAAAGCCACTATTACGCAAAGCGTTTCGGGCAGGAAACCCGAGTTATTAAGACTTGACCAGTATACCAAAACTCATCTACCCACCTGCATTAAGACTTAACTAGTACAACAAAGCTTGGACATCAGCATAGCTATCGAACACGCACCAATATATTTACCTTCCAGAGAAATATCAATTGAACTGTAATGAAGCAACATAAAACTGCCGGAAAGGCCCTTGACATGATTGACAGCCTGCCTGTCAGGCAAGCGCAGGCACCAAGGCTCTGATCTAGGAGTTGATAGATTGAATAGACAGAACTCTCGTCGCTCTGCCGTCAGCTGTAGGTCAACTATCCAGGTAAATCTGCCAGATGCAAAACAACTCTCAATATTAGCTGTCAAGCGCTTATCAAGTTTCCAGATGAAGAAAAGGAGATTGAGACAGAACAAAATGGAGGAGGCGGAGATGTGTCCGTAAGAAAGATTCGACAAATAAGCGGAATTGAATAGCTCAAACCGGATAAGTTCGGTTAAAAGCGAGGGCTAGAGGAGTGCGGATAAGCAAGAGTCAGCGCCCGGCCGGATACCGAACAAATGAGAGGACCTGCCTGGCGTGACGTCACTCTTACCAGCTGCCATGATCAATAGTCTGTTGCTGAGTGGTCGGTGTGTACACTAGTGTACACTGGTGGTCGGTGTGTACACTAGTGTACACTGGTGTACGGTGTGTACACTGGTGTACGGTGTGTACACTGGTGTACGGTGTGTACACTGGTGTACGGTGTGTACACTGGTGGACGGTGTGTACAATGCTGTACATTAGTGGACGCTGTGTACTCTAAAGGACGCTGTGTACACCCAGAGGACGCTATGTACACCCAATGAACGCTATGTTCACTCAGAGAACGGCTCTGGCTGTTCCGAGAGTCGTAATTTGATTACTGTTTCCTGGTGTGTCAAACCTCTTAATCGTCCAGTCACTTGAGCTGGACGATAGAGCAACGGTCTCCCTACATGCAGGTCGGCGTTCAATCCCCGACCGTCCAAGTGGTTGGGCACCATTCCTTTCCACCGTTCCATCCCAAATCCTTATCCTAATCCCTTCCCAGTGCCATATAGTCGTAATGGCTCTGTGCCATTCAAACAAAAAAACTCAATTCTGGAACCAGCCTAGTGCTCGGGGTTGCCAAGTTTCTCACGACACGGAGACTCATACAGTAAATGTTTTTGTTTCAAGATTATACACATGACGTCAGGCTGCGAGCAGCCGCGTCCAACAGCCTGGTTGATCAGTCCGGCAACCAGGAGGCCTGGTCGACGACCGGGCCGCGGGGACGCTAAGCCCCGGAAGCACCTCAAGGTAACCTCAAGGTAAGGTATGACAGCGTCCTGCTGCCCTATTCTATATGATGGTTATCTTGAGGTTATCTTGAGGTTATCTTGAGGTTATCTTGAGATGATTTCGGGGCTTTTTAGTGTCTCCGCGGCCCGGTCCTCAACCAGGCCTCCACCCCCAGGAAGCAGCCCGTGACAGCTGGCTAACAACCAGGTACCTATTTTACTGCTAGGTAACAGGGGCATAGGGTGAAAGAAACTCTGCCCATTGTTTCTTGCCGGCGCCCGGGATCGAACCCGGGACCACAGGATCACAAGTCCAGTGTGCTGTCCGCTCGGCCGATCGGCTCCCTCACACATGCATCACAGAATATAGTTCATGGGGCCATACGTTCACCTAATATCCCCAGCTTATAAGGTCAAAGGTTAGTCATACGTAGTCCAATTACCTTGTGCCATTTGGTCTAATATTCATAATTGTGTCCTAGCTCGCGATCACGGAGTTAACAGATTGGGGGCTCTCTGTTAGGGGGACATTATTGCAGTTACCCATCATGAGGAGCGACATCCCTGCCTTCTCCACACACACACACACACACACACACACACACACACACACACACACACACACACACACACACACACACACACACACACACACACACTAGGGGAGGGGTGTTTGGTGATGTCTCAGAACATGATTTTTCACCCACAGGGGTTATAATATAAAAATTAGTATTAAGCTTGTCATTTAAGTTTATCATGCCCGAAACGCTTTGCGTAATAGTGGCTTTAGGCATTGTATGTACTAGCTATACCTATAAGTCAAACAATCCTTGTAAATATTTATTGTATGTATGTACCTTACCTAAATAAATTGTATTGTATTGTATAAACCCTTGGAACCGCCTACCCGCCGAAGCCGTAAATGTCAAAACTCTGTTACAGTTTAAAATCCAACTGGAAAAGATCATCAGGGCAAATGTGGGGGACCTTTGACAAGCTGCCGGCTTCCTGTCCTCTTCGAGGCCAATAGTGTTAGTGGCCCTCAGGTATACTCTGGTAAAATAACATAGTTCCTGCCTCCGTTTTCCCATATAAAAGTGAACATAAACTAAAAAAAATGACAACAAAAGTTAGTTTTGTATATATAATGCACAGATAACACTTCACATACAAATAGTAATACTGACAATGCATACTAGATAAAACAAACATAAAATAGCCGATTATATAGCTTAAAAGGTTTGAAAATATTTCAGAGCATATTAACAGAAAACGCGACTTCACAGGGTGAGTCAGAAGTCCTCTGTAAATTGAGAATACCTTCTTGTTCTTTATAAATGTTTAAATTGTATGTTACCCTGTCCATATGATGTAGGAAGCTTTCCCACACATAGTAGTTGAGTGTACCGGGTCAGAGTATTGCACGTTCATTATTCATTGTATTTAAAATTGGCCAGCCAACTATAAACTGGGATTTTGACTTGCACTGTATCACCAGTGATGTTTAATATAAAATCCCTTAACATTTGTTTATATTCTAGTTTAATTATAAAATTGAATCACTATTAAAAATATTACTATTCTTAAATACACTAAATTACTTATTGAATTTAATTTTGTATTAATAATTTGACAGTAGAGATTCGAATTACCTTATTTACAATACCATGTTGCTAGCTGGAAACTGCATACATATTACAAATAAAACATAAATAGGACCACTGTAAGACTTAAAAACTAAAATTAAGTCAAAATTTTGTAATTATCAAACTAGCGGTGGAAGTAACCCAAAGTGTGTTGTTGTTTGTTGTGGTGCAGCCAGGCCATTACTGCTCGGTGGGCTGTTAGTGTCTTGTTGTTTATTGTGTGGAGAGGTGAGGCATGTGTGTGATGTAGAGTCATATATGAGGCTAGTGTGTGTGTGTGTGTGAGTGGCCACTAGCTCAGGCTAGTTATCCTGTCGACCTATCAGCGGCCGGCTATGGTTGATCTGTCGACCCATCAGTGGCCGGCTATAGTTGATCTGTCGACCCATCAGTGGCCGGCTATAGTTGATCTGTCGACCCATCAGCGGCCGGCTGTAGTTAATCTGTCGACCCATCAGCGGTCGGCTATAGTTGATCTGTCGACCCATCAGCGGTCGGCTATAGTTGATCTGTCGACCCATCAGCGGTCGGCTATAGTTGATCTGTCGACCCATCAGCGTCCGGCTATAGTTGATCTGTCGACCCATCAGCGGTCGGCTGTAGTTGATCTGTCGACCCATCAGCGGCCGGCTATAGTTGATCTGTCGACCCATCAGCGGCCGGCTATAGTTGATCTGTCGACCCATCAGCGGTCGGCTGTAGTTAATCTGTCGACCCATCAGCGTCCGGCTATAGTTGATCTGTCGACCCATCAGCGGTCGGCTGTAGTTGATCTGTCGACCCATCAGCGGTCGGCTGTAGTTGATCTGTCGACCCATCAGCGGCCGGCTATAGTTGATCTGTCGACCCATCAGCGGCCGGCTATAGTTGATCTGTCGACCCATCAGCGGTCGGCTGTAGTTGATCTGTCGACCCATCAGCGGCCGGCTATAGTTGATCTGTCGACCCATCAGCGGTCGGCTGTAGTTGATCTGTCGACCCATCAGCGGCCGGCTATAGTTGATCTGTCGACCCATCAGCGTCCGGCTATAGTTGATGTCGACCCATCAGCGGCCGGCTGTAGTTATCCTGTTAACTCATCAGTGGCAGGCATTTTTTTTTACCTACAGTAGGTGTAAAGTAGCTTAGGTTTTTGTACACTAAAACATACACTACCAACAGCTAGATCATTTTTGTTTTCAGTACTAATTAGTGAACTGATAACTTATCCAGAGAGTTGAGGTCAGAACATAATTTTTCCATTGCACTTAGACTTTGGTTGAATCGAATGAACCGAACCATATAACAGGAAGTCAGTTAGGCTTATGAGGGAGGGTTTCCCTGATAACAAAAAAATACAAATTGGTACAGTCCATTTTTAGTTTTGGCTATTAACAAAATGTCACCAATGATGCTCTTTGCAATGTTTTAGTGTGCTATTGACTTCGCAGCAACTTCACAGGCATCAAAAATAGACCAATTTACCTCGGTTGTTCAAATGGTGGCCGTGGTCTTTCAAGGTATTCATTAAAACTGTTTTGATGTCTTTAAATTTAGTATTTCAAATGTAGCCCCTAATGTAGAACCTAACTTGTACTCCATATTCCAGAGAGGAGACAATGGGCTCAAATGACAATGACTACACTACAGAAGAGGAGGCCTGGGTATTCTATCGAGACAGAGAAGAATGGGCAGACGTTACACCAATACCTCAAGATGATGGCCCAAATGCAGTGGTAAAAATTGCATATACAGACGCTTGTAAGTATATTTAATTATGCTGTGATAAAACTATTAAAGTGTTAATCAAATTCTTATTTTTAAAACTAAGTGTTTGCACCATTTGTCACTGTTCACCATAACATAAATAACTATTAAAAAAAGTAACTTAAAAAATTAAAGAATAAATTTACTGGGCATTATTGAACAATGTGATACCTGCTTGATGGGGTTCTGAGAGTTCTTCTACTCTTCGAGCCCAGTCTGTGGCCAGGCTTGACTTGTGAGAGCTTTTTCCAATGGACTGTTGCTTGGAGCAGCTCCGCAGGCTCATATATCCTCCACAGCATGGTTGATCTGGAACTTCTTGACGAAAACTAGATAGTTTCCTCTTGAAGATGTCCACGGTTGTTCCAGTAATATTTCTTATATTCGATGGGAGGATGTTGAACAACCGTGTACCTCTGATGTTTATTCATTGTTCCCTTATTGTGCCTATGGCACCCCTGCTCTTCACTGGTTTGATTTTGCATTTTCTTCTATACCATTCATTTCAGTATGTTGTTATTTTACTGTGTAGATTTGGGACCTGGCCCTCCAGTATTTTCCACGTGTATATTATCCGGCTACATTCGGACTGCTCTTCGGTGGTTCGTTGTCTGAACCACGGGGGATTCTTTTCAGTCATTAGGCCTTTGGGGCTGGTCGCTTCGAGTGACTTGTCTGCTGGATTCTCGGGGTTTGGCTCTCCATGCGGTTCGTATCCGGGGAGTGTCCAACATCCCAGTGGATGAACTTTATTGGTTCATTCCCTTGTCCACGGAATGGACGGTTGACGCTGACTCCTTCAGTTGGCTCTGCATAATGTACGGGCTCCCGGAGGTGGACCTCTTCGATCAGCCTCCGAACTGGAGGTGTGAGTAGCTGGCGGGAGTGGAAGGAGGAAGTCTGGGGTCCCTCCCCTCCCCTCCTGAGAAGGGAAAGGCTGGCAGACATGGAATGCTCCCAAACACATGGGGATTTCCATAGGCTATTGCTCCCTTTGCCTCTCTGAGGGGGCCAGGTTCTGGCTCGTGGTCCTCGGTAGGCTGAACTCTAATTGACATGCCCCAGACTAATATTACGTACATTAGTCCAATAGCTTCAGGGAACTGGAGAGACTCGCCCAGAAAATGGCATTTCATTACATTCAATGCTGGGTTTTTATGAAAAAGTGGTTGATGAAATTCAATGATCAGCATGGCTTCGGTTTACAATACAGAATTATATCTATATTATAATGAACCAATACTGCTCTATATACTTGTGTTAGATATGTTTTTCTGGCTGATCAGTCTTCATTGTGCTAAATCATTTCAACAGTTACAGATGTGTATGACTATTTTCGAGCTGTGATGGCTAACGGGGAGCTGTCTCAGAGAGCCCTAGAGCTAACTGAAGATGCATTAAATATGAATGCTGCCAACTATACTGTGTGGCAATATAGGTGAGGTGCAATACTACATGTATGATAATGCTGATGTGTGTTTTTGCATGGAGCAAGCTCTGGAGACTTACCTCTTGACCATTAATCAATTGCCATGAGGTCTCCTTAAATAATTGAGTTTTGCATACAGAATTTTTATTTAAATCCATGTACAGTATGTAGTTAATGTTCTGTTTCTCTCCACATGTCACCCACTTGGTATCTGCCTCACTCTCAAGAACCTTCTTAAATTTTTCTGGTTCATTTGGTCATTCATTTATAATTAATGTTCCCTAGTCTTGGTTCTGCACTCATTCACAGAGCTGCTACTTACTCACCTTGCCAGTGCCAAAGTACAGATATTATGTATGTTACAACACTGTCCTCTATGGATAGTTTACATTCAGTAATGACACAGAGTCTCTTGTAGCCTATTCTCATTTCGGCTTCTCTGTGGCCGAGACTAGCCTTTTGGAACCCCTTTGAATTTTATAAAAACAAATGAATTTAAGAAGGTAGGGATGCCATTGCTATTGCTGCATTCTTGGATATTGAACATAATTATATGTTCAATAAATGAAGGCAATTAAAAAAGGTTATACATTTTATTACAAAAACTTCATTACAGTACGTACTTAAATAATATTTTTAATTAATCTGTTAACAAATTTCTAAGCTTAATTAAAATGTTCTCATTAGCATTCCTAATATATTTTTACAGGAGAAAGATTCTCAGACATTTAGGAAGTAACCTGGAGGCTGAATTGACATTTTGTCGGGAAATGATTGAAATGAATCCCAAAAACTATCAAGTGTGGTAAGATATTATGATAAATTCTAGTTATATACTATACCTAAATGAATATATTTTTGCATATATAAAGTACAATATTTGAAATTGTCAGTACTAGCAATATTGTTGATTGTTTGTAATTGTGTAACTCCCACCAGGCATCATCGCCGTGTTATTGTCGAGTGGCTCGGTGATGCCAGCAAAGAATTGAGACTGACCGAGATGATCTTCAATCAAGATGCCAAGAATTACCATGCTTGGGAACATCGACAGTGGGTCCTCAGAACGTTTAAGTATGTAGAAATCCTTAAGCTATTTTCTGCTCTTGAAATATTTGCTGTAATACCAAGATAACTTATGGAGTGGGAATGACATATGCTTCATGGTTTATGGCTTTTTTGGAAAATGCCTGTAGTTTACTACTGGATTGTCTAAGCTTGCTAATTAAAATCGTAAGGGCATGACCCCAATCTGAATCACTTTGAGATCCAAATTAGCCAAATTTCTTTCAATGCTTGTAAAAAATGGTAGCTTTTTTTTTTACCACACCCAACCTAATTCATATTTCCACATATGATAAGCATAAACATATATTCTTGTGGCAGTATCTTCATAAAAATAAATAAAATAGAATGACTAACATAAATTTCAACTTATTGGAGTTAATGTTATCTTGATCATGGAAGGATTTTAATTCTGTATAGTAGCCTAACCTATCCCTAAAATTATTGTAAAAGTGCTTATATTACATATTTTTCTCTTCTGTTCCTTATTTCAAATGCAGTACTTTCCCCACTTTCTCTTGTAACACATCGTTCTCGGCAAAAGTTTATCTACTGTAAGTTTTGTATTAAAGGACAAAACGTTAGGAGATACGATCTACCATGTTGTATCAAGTGAAGGGAGAAACCTGTGGGTGATAAGCTCATGGGGCCGGAGCATGTTCACTCTGGCCACAATATTTGGGCAGCTAGATGACATGAAACTTCCTTATTTTAGCAGGCAAATACACTATACAGCCTGTACACCGTTTTAACAATCAACAATTGTTTGTTATAATATTTTATATTTATACATTTTGTTATTAATGCTTATTTTTTCTAATGTAAGCCCCAAACCAGGCTGACAAGGTAGGAGCTCTAGAAACCATCAACCAATAAGGAGCAAATACATATATGGCAGAGGCTCATGACGGTGTTTTTCTTGATGTTGTCAGTATATTCTTAGTGCCTGATTTGTGAACTCTGTTAAATGTAAGATTCCAATTATTTTGTTTTAATTTTCACAGACTTTATGATGGAGAACTTGATTATGTTGATAGACTTCTTAAAGAAGACGTGAGAAATAACTCTGCTTGGAACCAGCGGCACTTTGCTATCACTCAGACCACAGGCTTCACACCGGAGGTGATAGAGCGAGAAGTGGAGTACACCAAAAAGGCCATCAGCAAAGTTGTGGGTAATGAGAGCCCGTGGAGTTACCTCAGAGGGTTGGTATTTAATATTAAACTTATCACTGTAGACACCCAACCCACACATCTGAAAAGAAAGTGACACTTTCTTTTCAAAGGTGTGGATCTGGTGTCTATTTTTTCAGCCACATTATTGTAGTTTACTCTCTCTGTATTACTGTAGTCATATTCACCGAGTTTAAAACATTGTTTGAATTCTTTTGCGCTAAAACTGTTTTATGCATGAATTAGTTATAATAAATATGGTATAATTATCACTCCAATGTCCTTAATGTCTTATTTCGTCTGAAAACATATACTGTATATTCCTATGTAGAATCCTCGGTAGGCATTGCATAAGCTGCCTTGAGGGTTCTTCTTCTTGTCTGTGTTCATGTGGATATCAAAGTGTGGAGGGTGATGACAGCATTGGAGCCGAAGGCATCCTTCCTTCTCAAACCCTGCAACCATATCCCTACTAAATTTTATTTTTTGTTGTGAATTTTTGGAATTAGGATTTTCTTTCTAAAGCATACTTGAACTTGTACCATTAGTTTAAAAACCAGGATGATATTTTTAGTAAAGTTAAATACTGTATAGCAAAAATATAATTAGACGAAATTAAGTAGGATAAATGTGAACGTATTTTGTGATGTTAAAGAAATGGTTACAGTATATGGTGAGGAAGTCTCAGGGAGACAAGAACACTTTCCCACCAAGTGCAGCAATAACACCAGAGCTTCTAGAAACTCAAGACACCAGGTTACCGTGGTAATCAAAACTATGTTACCAGTAGAAATCAATTGGCATGAAGCAGGCCAGTGACATCCTGCAAGAAAAGTGCTGAGATTGGTGGTGGCAGGTCACTTTATGCCCAAGTTTCAAAGGTCACACTGCCAACTGCCGCTCTGTTACTGTTGAATGGATATCTTCAACCTGACGCTTATCCGAAGGACTGAACCAAAGGAAGATAAGGGCAGTATCTAGCCGCGAGTGAGAGCCCAGGAAATGATCTTGTTGTAAGCGGTTTTGTTGGAGCTGTGCAGAAAGAGGCTTCGAGGTCTGGTAAGCTGCGGTGACCATGAGATAGACCTGATGTGAGAGGTCTTCATTGTCAGAAAGGATGACTTTGTTACATGAGTGTAGGCATGCCAAAGAAGGGCACCAAGCTGCTAGTGCACCAGGAGGGTGGCACTATTACCTGTGGAGTAAGTGGATGCAGCCACACTTCCACACTGATTAAGACTCAAGATGATGTGAAATCAAGTAGGAAGTTCAAAGAGTGTGAGGCTAATTTGCCAGGTGCTGCGTATGTGCGTACTATCAGCTAACGGGCAGATCCAGGAGCTACACACCCAGGTGGTTTGATCCATAGGTACCCTAAAGGTAAGGAAGGGACCTGTAGCATCTTTAAGTAAACATTGAAGAAGTTAAGGGAGCAGTGCGGTGGTCCTTGTCAACAAGAGGTGGTCAACAAGAGGTTAGGGCCCTGGGCCCTTCATCAATGTGAGAATTGAACCTTTGGAGTAACAGTGATATTTGTGGCAATGAGACAGTTGTAGGAACCAGCCTGTACATTGATGAAGTTAAGGGAGCAGTGCAGCAGTCCCGGGCAACAAGAGGTTGGCCCTATATTGAGAGACACTGTTATATATCAGTCCATCCTCCTATTAAGGTAGTTCTTATAGTAATGATGAGGACCATCGTACATATATTAACATAAAAGGCAGTTAGAAAGAAGAAAGTGGTACTATTGAATTTGGACAGACTGGAAAAGTTTTTGTACAGTATTGATGTTGCAAAAAAAATATAACCTAACTTTACTAGGGCCTAATATAGTACATATGTGCTATACTAGGCCTAGGAATATTTAAAAAAATTTTAGCTTTATTTTTTCCAGCCTATACAGTGAATAGCACCAAATTCTACTACAGTATATTTTCTATGCATGTATGATAATCCACACATAAGGTAATTACAAAAAATACTATCTAAACAGGAGGGTGGGTTGTATATATGCAGCAGAGGTTAAGTCCCCGGGTAGTTACACGAGAACAGCCCCTTTAGAGTAGCAGTGATATTTATGTAATAGCACGGCAGTAGTGGGGAACCTGTCTATGTTTAGTGTAGCAGAAATTGGGGGCCAAGAGTTTAGAGCCCAGTGAGATCATGTGAAGATTGGCCCACTGAAGCAGCAGTTGGGGCACAGGTGTTTGATGCCCTGGTCAGCCAGGTGAGGGCTGGTCTATATCGACAGTGACAGTGATCTGAGGATGGCTGTGTATTTTGTGGGAGTGTGTGTGGAGTGGGGTCCATGAGTTGAAGTATAGGGCACAAGGTAACTGTACCTATATTCCAAGACTAGGTTTGTAATTTGCCAGCAAATGGTGGCAAATTCCAGTGACGGAATTGCAGGAAACAGGAACGGCAAATGAAGTAACCCAGGAAGGGGCCAATTCTGGCTCCTTCTGGCATTAGTGAAAAACTGAAGGCTGGAGAGGATTATCAGGAGCAGGTGCCAGAGGTTGTCGGATAGACATTAGAGATAAGAAACTTTAATTTAGTGTGATTGTTATTTTGTTTGTGTGACAGTGTCACGTAGGGTTTCAAGCAACAGTCAGGATGTAACAAGGGTCGGGTTGTTGAGCCCAATTTAATGATACCCCACAAGCCCAGTGTTAGAGAATATCTGCCGTATTAGCATGAGTGGCTGTTTATTTGTTGCTAGCTAGTAACAGAAACCTTAGATGTTGGAGGGTGATTTTCTTTTGAGCAATTATTTTCTTCAATATTTGGTATTTGCCCTAGTCGTTACATTCACAAACCCCATAGTTGTTACCTTTGGGGGCCCCCATTCAATAAATCTGTCAGTGAATATGCACGTATGTATGGAGTTTAATTGAAAGACAGCCTTGCTCACTTCACTACAACATATGTGGTGGCAAGTTGAAGATAATTTGGAAGAGTACACCTTACAATATATTATTATATTTTCATTGCTTAGGGTTGTCCAACACTGTGATGGTGGCATGAATAGTACTGGCAATCTGGAGCAGTGGTGCCAACAAATGTATGATGCTGGCCAACGCTCACCTCATCTTCTTGCCTTCATGATAGACCTTATGGAAGACAAGATGGAGCGAGAGGCCTCGGAAAGACCGCATGTACTGAAGAAAACTCAGGAGGTGTGCTTTATTCTTTTTGTTTATTACCTTAACTTATATGAGCTTTGAATACTAAAAGGTAAATACTGTGTGTATTTTATGATGTAAGTAAAACACAAAACTTACACAAGACGGATTACGAGTATTTACTTAACACGAAATAGTGCCTTGTTATATGTATCTTTTAGGAGTAGAGAGAATATCTTCTTGTAATATCTAATAATAGATTGTGTGTACTAATGTAGCTTAAGCATCAGAGAGCATTTGCCACATCTTGGGCCATGGAATACAGCACTAGTAATGGTAAGAACTACAAACCTTATGAGGAAAAAACAAGAGAGACATTCCAGGACAAATTTTTGTTGTAGGTTGCATTAAGCCAAACACATTCTGTCCCTGACAATGGGAAAGCATCTGTTAGCGGCAATGTGATGCTATACACCAGTGCCAAGGTACGTCTTGTACCAGTTTCTGAATCAATCATTCCACTAAGTTGCTTCATTAGGTAGTTAAAGTCTGATGTAAAGAACTGAAAGTTTGCTTTGTGTTACATAATATACAACATTTATTTGGTTTTGGTTGTTTACCTTTGTTTATGTGCCAGTGGAGAGCGACATCTACACACATTTTGAGTAACATTATATGTTGGGGATTTAGGCCTTAGACCAGGTACTAAAGGAAGTAAGATCAGGTGTGTTATTTTGTTATTAATTAATACAGTAGATTTATGCACTTTGTTTAATCTTTGTCATATATCTTCATGCACCTTTGGTTTACCAGAGATTTTCAAATTTTCCTTCAATAACACTGAAATATGCATATTGATGACTAAAGAAACAGGTACTCTAATTGCTTTTACTTCATATTTAAAAAATTATATAATTATTATTATTGTTACTTATTATACATTACCAAAACATAGAGTTCTCAAATACTTGCACAAACTCTTCCAGTCAGAAGTTTTAAATGTTAATGAAAGCAAACTTAAACATGTCCAGTTAACACCAGTCATTTAAATTTGCTTCCATTAGTATTTAAATATTCTTGAGTGAAAAGTATATATTTTTTGAACTGCACTGTATTTTGGTCATATGTGAAATGTGCACCTTTACTGTAATACAGTAATAATAATACTTGATGAAACATTGCTGTAATTTTTTTAGTGAATGAATATAATGTATATTTATAATACAGTGTACAGGTAGTACAGTATTTATAGTTTTACCATGTACCTGTATAAATGTAATTATTACTTTGGTCTATAAATTATGTCCATACAGTATATATAGGTAAGCTTTAATTACACCTATATTAAATTCTCTTAATTTACAGCTATGTGAATCTTTGGCCATGGAACATGACAAGATTCGCCGCGAGTACTGGATGTATATAGAACGAAGCCTTAGTCACAGATTTGGCGCTTAGGCAGTTGAATTCAGATCTCGGTGTTCCAGTGCCCTTATTTAATACTGGATCTCAGTGTGCAGGTACGAAACACAGCAGCTTCATAGTATTCTTAGGATGCTTTCACTTAGTCATGTTTCCCATAGGCTAAACGTAATGACCAGAGATGAAGTTTTGAATTCCATTTTGACCAATTGATAACTGTATCTTACAAGTTTATCCTTTTTTTATATGGCAGGTTAAATATGAATCCAGTTATATTTAATTACTAGCATATGAGCATCCACTTGAACTGTGTATGTCATTGATTATAGCAAAATAATAATTTTTTAAAGTGATGCTTTGATGAAAATTAAATAATGATCAGGATTTTACTAGTATGTACATTGAAGGGCTAACATAATCCAGAATTCTAATTATATATTACTCAAATTAAGCTCTAGGACTTATGTTGGTTTAACATAGCACAAAGTGCTGAGAGTTGTGTACTGTAAAGTTATTCTATATTAAGTACTGTATAGACTATCTCCAATAAAATTTTACCTGTAATTACTTGCAGGTAAAAAAAAAAAAACATCGTCTTCAGTTAAGTCTGTTCTCAACTCGGCACACATTGTAGGCTATTAAAGCACTGTTATCAGATTGGTATTTGTCACTGTATAGTATTGTCAGTTTAGAGTTTTATATTTGTTACCAGTTAATACTAAAAAATTTATTTCATTGTGCTTGTTTTTTGACCACCTGTTGTTAACATCTTTATATACCCTGGAGTAAAGAGGGAGGAGAGAGCTAGGGCTCCAGCTTCTCCTGTTCCCCCACTAAGGCCAAGTGTCTCCACCCTCCCAAAATAGGAAATAATATAATAATTGTGATTTTTAATGTAAACTTGATTTGCTTCTATGAGTTCCCTCACTTTTCCTCTTCATGTTGGTTTTGTTAAATCTTTAGCCCCTAACCTGATGCTTGTTAAAGACTTCTGAACAGAAAATACTGTGAAAGTGGGTTATACATTAATAATCTGGATTTGCATCAGATAATTAAAAACAATAGTTGCCCACTGAGGTTTCATGATGTAATGACAAACACTAGTAATATGAAAGGCCATTTTTTCTCTTCTCCTAGATAGTAATAAAACACGGCAATTCCTTCACAAATCAAGCACTGACTACACCCTCCCCAGAGTGGACAGTAGTACAAAAGTTAATTAACTTCAAGATTAAGAAGAGCAAACAGAGTTGTGTACTAACAGTATTTCTCAAAGAAATATCCGACTTTTATGGTAAGATTTATGTGTATCAGCCCTAGAATATGGAAAATATTTATATATTATAGTATTGGTAACTATATTAGGTCATTCAGGAGTCACTTATATAATATATTGTACGTGCTACAAAACAGTGGCACTGATCAATACATGTTTCTTCCAAAAAAAATTAAGTACAAACTTGCTCTAATAACAAAGACTAATGATGCCTGCTTTAGTTTCTTCACTTCTCCACAACTCCTGACATGATACATTACTTTGTAGGCTACTCAAGACTTGGTCAAAAAGCCTACGTAACGTCACCTTCCATCACCATAATTCAGACACTGAAAAACTAGACGTTTTAGGGCAATAATTCCATTCATATAATGCATATTATATATATTTATATATGATTTTGGCCTAACTGATTGCACTGCATATACTATGTGTTTTTTTTTTTTTTTTAAAAGAGTATTGCATAAGATTTCAAGTCCTGTAGGTACACAAGAGCTCACATTGGCTCACATTGGCTTTCTCAGAGCTCCAGTAAATAGACACCATTTTGAAGGAAAAAAAATGGTAGGCACGATTCCTAGATGTGAAGGCTGTATCGAGATCAATCGAGGCTGGTGCATGGCTGCACGAGCTAAGTGCTGCTCTTCAGCTTGTGATCACAGCATTTCTTAAAAACATGAAATACTTATGTAACTGCTATTAATTTGCTATGATGGTATCATAGACAAGCCTGACTGTGATAAAGACTGCTTACAATATTCAAATATCAGTGAAAAACAATGTTGTTCAAGATGTTCACAGCACTAGGCAGGCAGCGTCAGCACTCTTGCCATTGTTTAGTCCATCTAAGCATCCTGAAACGGCTCATGTTCCTTTACAAAATTATCTTGAAAATTAATAATTTTCCACAAGTTTTAGTGACTAGGATTCTGATAACAGCATTGTGCCTAGAACTAGTGGTGTGTAGTATGTTGGGAGGAGGAATTTCGCTAAGTGAGGTAGTGTTGTTGGCTGATTAGCACGTAGTGGCACAGTGCTGTTTGGACTCGCCAGACCACCTTGGTGGTTCGTTATGAACAAAAATGTAAATATACTATACACACGTTATATGTAACAATAAAAATTATGTTTTATTTTTCAAAGAATATTTTAACTGAATTTAACATTTTTTCAGTTAAATTTTTTCCCTTTGCATGGATATTCCTGCACAGGCCCCAAGACTTTGGCTGACCCACTAAGGTGTTACTTTTTTTTGTTTTGCTAATGGAGGAGTATGAGTATTCATTACTCGTATGTTGGCTTCAACAAGATTATACACAGTGTTTAACAACTTCTGCACATTTGAAGAGGTTAACCCTTTGTTACTAGTTTTTATTTTTATTTGAGCCATTTTCTGTTTTTGTGTTCTATAATGCCAGAATAATCTTTATAAAACTAGGCATGTTTCCTAGAAATTGGAAGGCATCACCAATAAAAATTATCAAAAGCAAGCAAGCCAGGAAGTTAACAGGAAACTCCTTGGCTGAAAATGGTCACCAGCAAATACTGTATTTACCTACAGGCCAATGAGATTTAGCGCTGTACCCATCCTCCTAGTTATTTATACCTGCAGCACTAACTCATCTCTCAAAGTTAATATTTTTTCCTTAAAGCTGTAGATGGGAGCGAATTGAACAACTACTTTGAATGCATTCCATGAGAATTTCCTTGCATCTCTGACTAACATCTACAGAATATGGTGTCGGTGTGAGTCATCAGGGTAGGAATGGTTATCATGAGACATCAAAGTATTTGGGTCAGGTAGCAAAGCCAAACAGGTCCTGAAATAATGTGGTCAGTGCAGGAAACATGCTCAGTTTATGGCGGGTACATCGCCTCAGGCCTCCCAGAATGAAGTGAGCAAAAGGTGCCATAGTAATCATGATATGGATCACTAGGAACTCTTAAAAACCAACCCAGCCAAGTGAAGAGTAGAAGAACCAAAGAGGTAGACAGTCTGGTCTGGGCCCATCACAGCTGGAGCTATGGACCCCAATCTCCCAACACAAAGACTGTTGCTCACTCAAGTGGGCAAAGGAGAAACATTTCTTCCATTCACCTGGATTGTATAGGTCTAACTGTGGACCCACGCATGAGAGGCAACATTTCTCCTCCTCAAGGAGAAACGTGTGGCTAACCATTGAGTGGCTGAAAGGCATTCCAGGGACCACTATGGATACCATCCCCACAATGCCCATTAGACCAGATGTTTAACTAGGCAATGCTAATCAGACTAGCAGATCTGTTTAGATAAACCAGCAACTCATCTAACCCCCCATCCACCAAAGTGTGTGGTTTCAGGAAATGTACAGGTCTCCATACACAGCGAACACAATGGGACATATTCGACTCTTGCACTGCCACATCAGGTAGAAGAGGATATTCTAATAGTTATCTCCTGGTAACTTCAAAGATGGCCTATGGGAGGAGGTACAAGACAATATGGAGCTACCACTGACAGGCAGTGCACAAGAAACCATTGCATATAATTTACCTATCCTGGTGGCCTTCCTCCTGCTGCCATAACAGGAAGCGGGGAACTGTGTGGCTGTTCACGCGTTGGTGCCACTCTTGGAAAAGTGCCCATAAATCTTATACCTAACACCTGGAGGATTTCGAGAGACCTTTTAATTTACACCTTGCACAGGGTGATAAATGTTGACAATAAGAAAAATTATCATAATTTAGTTTATTAAATTGTTCATGTGGCTTCAAAAAACAAAAAAAACAAGTGAACCATAATGACTAGACATATCCATAAAAATGTAGCACTTTAAGGAAAGGGCATTATTCATCTGGTACCACAAAATCACTGGTGCCATTTATCTGTGTAATTCAGGCAATCTTCGACGATAACAGCATAAGAGGGTGGATTGGGAAGAGGAAGTTGGGTAAGATTACATTCAACCATTGCCATTAACTAGTCTTATTATTTCAATCATAAAAGTTTCATGCATGCCAAAAGCACTCCAAGTAAATTTGTATATGCTGTACAATATATTGTCTTTAGTCCTTTAAAATATATGTGCATCACATTACCAACATGACTGACCAAGCCACACTCCAGCCATCATACCAACTGCAGAAGTAACCCTTCATAACCTAAATTATAAAGTTGCTCACCACTTTGAATATGCCCAAGAGTGTATCCCTGTTGACATAACTTTCTATCCACTTTAATGTGCACTAACTTAAGTATGATTTAAAAATTTATCTGAAAAAGAGAATATTTAAAAGAGCATACATGCAACAAAACAAAATATACATCTAAATACACACTTCAACAAAATCAAAGTCCCAAGATAATAAAGACCGATATCTAATTATTAAGCCCAACACTTGGTAAATTCATGCAGTTTAATAATACTGTATCATGCAAACCACCCATTAAGCAGCCTTTAAAAATCAAAGCCAACAGAAGCAAGAGAGTACCAACCACCAAGCACACTACACCCCGTGCTACCTGATATGTTAGTGAGTAGAGAGCAAGGGCTTAAGGCACCCCACCACTCTACAGGAAGGCTGATGGGTTAGCACGTGGATCCCGCTGATTCCTGTACCGCACCGTGAGCCACACACCAAGGAACTGAGGGGTGCAGAAGCAAACACTTGAACACAATAAAAGTGTTTGATATGGTTATTAAATAAAATAATAAATATCTTTTTAGCCAAGTTAGATATTTCCCATAAGCTTGTTGCCCAGAATTAAATTACACTAATCAATAGAGTATTTTAAGAGGACAATATTAACCATACAGTAACCAGTCATACTTGTTCATCAATTACCTTGTACCAATATAGCTTATAGCACAATACTGTAATTACCGAAATGTCAAGACAGAACATTGATTTAGAAATGCAACATCACAGGGGGGGAGGGGAATTATTTCATTATAAATTACTTTAACCCTCCAAAGAGCTAATATCAACAAAGATGAAACACTAAGAAATTAATAAACTTTGCAGACAAGACCAAGAATCTTGACATTACAGTAGTCACTGACATGCATTATAAACTGAAAACACCCCATCCAGGCCACAGCCAAATTTACCGAAATATTCCCTTGGTGCAAATGAAGAGGAAATGGATGTTATGAAAATTGATTAAGGTCCAACTAACTATGAAGGTTTTTCTTTTCCAAAAATTTGTCTAAAATGTTGCCTGTAGGAATGTGGTTTTAATGTTCCATTTCCATTAATGTTTTAATCAAAAGGGGGGGAAGGGGACTGCAGACCGATCTATCCTTAATCAGGACAAGGTAAAGGGGGGAGGGGGAACTAGCAAGCTTTAGTTGAACATAATGTATTTTATGTGATAAACAACAACATAATATGCAGTTTCAGAAAATTTCTACTATATGTTGTGGCGATTATAATGATTCAAATTGTAGTATAGCAGGTTCCATATAATATGAAGGTTATGGCAATCTTATTCTGAGCTTCCACTGGCATTAACAGTTTTCCCCATTTTAATAGAACATAAGCAGCAAACCCAATATGGGGGCTGGAAATCACAAGAAATGTTGAAACTCAAATTAATCGAACTTTTATATTTTAACCCTTAATGTGTGGTTACCATCATATAGATTCTAGGAGTAATGCAGTTGCATGTTTATTTTAGTCGCCGCTTTTTTTTTAATGTAAATGTGGTTAAAATACATCTACATGGATGTAATGAGGTTAACAAACCCATTCAAAATTCTGTTATAATTTCCAATGGCTTGCTATGCAAACAGGTCATTGTGCATCAGTAGTTTGAATCATCACATCATACTCTGTCCTTTCCGCCAGCATTTCATTAGAGTTTCTCTGGACAACACTTCCTGACAAAAGCATCAAAGGAATGTGCACTACACTGAGCTGTGCCAAGAACAGATTTATATGCAATATAAGTGTACACATTGCATTGGAGGCCTATATACAGTACTCTTAACTGTGTGCATAAATCAAGTTATTCCACACAACTGAAGTCAAACGGCAGACATGACATCCATATAACTTAACATCAGACCCCTTGCCCCTATGTATCTACATGGATACTTCCCATTCAACTATGGGCATAAAACCAGAAAAAGACTGTCTTTCCATTTTCCTTACTTTTTGCATGTAAATGTATTTTCCAAGAAATTTTTTCTCACAGGCAGAGTTACCTTTGATGATACCCACATGTTAAAGGTTAAAAGCCACCACCAGTATGAATCAACAAACATGAATCATGAGCTGCATGTGCCAATTTAACTACCAATTACGCAATTTGTGAGTTCAATTATCAAGAGTTACTGCATTTGTAACTACTGTCATATTTTGTAAACTCTGACATTCATACATGCTACAAAGACCTTATTAATATATAATGTAACGAATTTAAAGGGTAATTTGCAGAAATGAACTTTCTATTAATTTGTTAACCAAAGCAGGAATTACCCAACTGGAAGTGAAAAATAAGCAATGGGGAAATAAAGAAAATTCATGACTTTCCACAAGCGGTGATGAGGGTTTGAACCTATGCGCTCGGTGTTCCCAGATGCACGCTCTCGACGACTACGCCACAACATAGTTAAAAAACCCGACCATGTCGTGGTGTAGTCGACATGCATCTAAGAACGCTATAAGAGTGCATAGGTTCAAACCCTCATCACGGCTCCTGTGGATTTTCTCATTGATGTATCACGATAATGTGATTTCTCCATAAATAAATTTGTTATAGATCTTCAAAATGGCTGAAAACAAAGTGGCAAAATATTATTACAGCAATGAAATGTTAATAGAGGTTATTAAAATTTGAATTATCAATTATCCCTAACCCATAAAATATGGATTCTTTAACCATTAGCTCTTACAATATGAATTTGAGATTAGTAACCAAATACTGTAACTATAAGGGGTTAAACCAGTATGCTTAATTAGCAATTCTTTACTAAATTTTTAAACATTTTTTAACTGAAATGGATGGGGATACTCTCAGATTATATACGTTTTGTAGAGAATTTATTTGCGAATTTTTTGGTACCAGAATGAATATTATATCACATAAACTTCTATGAGTAAAAAAAAAAAACACACAAAGTATGTTTGGG